TGAGAAAAAACTCACGGTACACAACTTGCAAACACCGCCCAGAAAGGCTCCTGAATTTCACCCAATAACTCTCCTGTTTTGGTGAAAACCCATGAAAAAACCATTGACTCTAAAGCAGTGTCGCTAACAAGGATTCTGAAATCCTGTTTTGTAGATTGGGGTCTTCCATGTCAACAGTGTGTACCGTTGTAGCCAAATTGATAACAGTGTTTTGGCCAGCGCTCTGCTCTCACCAACATGAAATTGATCCCAGCGTTTGGCTTCTTCATACAAAGGTCTCTTTCAAGCTGATTCTAGTTCTCATAATACATTTTCTGCTACACGCAACAACTTTTTTAACTCACTGCTGCACCAGTCGTCCACGGCTTATTTTGCTGCAACCGGTGTCACAACACTGTCCAGTTCACAGTACGACTGATTCATCATGAATCTTACTGTAGGTGGAGTAATGAGTCACGAAGAAACTGTGGTGGTTTTGTAAGAATTCAGTCAGGAAAACATGTGATTTGTGGACAATTTTAATAAAAAAAAATTCCAACATGATAGGTCACGTCCTCACATCCTGCTTTAGCCTTTAGCCAGCACATCGCCACAACCTCTTAAAATTCACACTCCTCTCACTGCCTGCACCACAAACCACTAAGAAAACCACACATGTTGAGCCATGTGATATATCCAGCTGTGTTGAGCTGATTGCCACCTCTAACATAATATACAACAGCTCCTAATTATCAATTAGCCAAAGGTAATAGCTAGCCTAATAGCTTCATCCTTGTTAGTTTATAAATTTGGCAAAGTTTCAATATTTTTGTTCTGGATGTAAGCAGATATCCGCAATGTTATTACAGACGTGACAATTTGTTTCTCACCATACATTTTTTTAACCGGTTCAGTTCTTCTTTTCCCATTCTTTTTCTAAAGGCTGCTGTTAGCACCAGCGCTACCAAAAAAAATCTATATTGAACATAATATTTCCCTTCTTCCTTTTTTTTAAACATTACTTTTGACACGTTAATGTACGTGCACCATTACTGCCCCATGTGCTTTTAATTGCTCTCCGATGACTAATAAAATTCTTGAATTGAAACGAGTTGGTTTTCCCAGTAAGTTGCAGCATGAATCCTCACAGGTGTTTTTTATTTCGGTTGTTTAGCTTAGGCTAATTCAGAGAATCAAAAGGCTTCCATTCTGATCAACTGGACGGCTCATTCCAGGACTTTTTGTGTGGTTCCACAGTGTAGCGATTATCATGCCTATGGCGCCTCCTGTGGCAGCCTGTGTAGGTTACAAAGACTCACCCTGTGAAAACCCAAATAACGGACTTCTCGATTTTAGCATGACACGTTTTAAAGTACAGTTGGGCTAAAAATGTGGATGTGGTTTGAAAAAAACACTGTGCTGCTCCAGACAGACTTAGAAAATGACCATTTCATATTCGTAGTGGCCAAACTTCTAAAACTACACCAGCAAGTGAGGTCACGGAGGATTGCCAGTCAGCTTGAACTCGGCAGCTTGTTGTTTAACTGTGGACGTGAGCTCCTGGTTTGTGGTGTGGCACTCCTGCAGTTTTGTGCACTGAGACAGGGTTGACAGATGGATGAATTTTTTCGGCTTAAACAAATCCATCTTCATTATTGTTAAAGAATCTCATCATTATTTGTCTTAAATGTCATGTACACTTTTTTTTTTCTGAGAGAGCTTGCAGTAACCAAACAACGCCATTTTACCTCACGCAACCCTATTTGCCCACTCTCGATACAGATCCATTGGCTGTGCACTTTAAGGCAGGCCTCAAAACCAAGAGAAGGCAACTATGACACTGAACATGTCCTGTTTAGTTTGTCGATGCCTCCGGGCCAAGAGAGTATCCTTTCCCAGAGACTGATATATAGCACAGCAGAGGAAAGTCTGCACCTCGGGCGTCTCAAGTCATTCAAAAGTCAAACTTTCAGCTGTTAAGATTTTACTGCAAAACACTAGAGTTGTTTTGACGAAAACATGAAATGTCTGCTGCTGTCTCTGCCCTTTGATGTTTTTGGACTCTGGAGTTTCGCCGCTGCGTGTCTGTGTCAATAGTTTTCTCCATTTTCAGATGTGCATTTGGAAACAGTAGCATGTTTTGCAGAAATATGATACCGCCTCAGAGACACAACCACGGAAACACATGTTGGAATAATGAGAGCACGGCATGCAATCAGGATTTCTTGCAGTGTCACGACTGAAAGTGAATGTGCTGGCTTTTAAAGGGCTGAACCCAAACAGGGTTTAGTTTTTGTGACGAACTTCGCACAAGGAACGTGCACATGACGGACAATGTTTTCGTATGAGGAAGTTAATTGTGCCCAAGATAAACACTGCTGTTTACAGAGGAAGGATGGGCACATGAGCTGATGGTGTGACTGCTGCTCATAATAACTCAGCAACATGTCTCTATCTGTCGCTGAGGTGCACTGAGATGGCAGAAAAACAAACTTTGTTTCGTGTTTAAAGCGGTAGTTTGAGTTTCTTAAGAAGGCAAGAAATGGTGTGAGTGACTTCACTCGAACTTTGCATGACAGGACAGGCAACAGAGTAACAACTAACTGTGTTAGTCTGACTAAAAACAGATCTCAACAAAAAGCTAAAAGTGTTGAGCTAAAAATGAGTAATGGAGTTAGGCCTTACTCCTGCGTGTAGCTGTGGAAATGGGTCCACAGTGCACATGCTTTACTACTGTGACTGATCGAATCTGTTTTGTTTTGTTGCTAGCTAGACTTTTCATCAAACAGTCCTGTAATCAGATCATGACATGTAATATATAATATTGTCTGTCAAACATCAGGTTAAGAAACTCTGCTGCACGGACTTTATTAAAGGCTCCTAAAGCTCCACTGGGCCAGACAGAATGACTTGCCGGGCCGCATTTGGGCCCCGGACCTTGAGTTTGACACATGTATGCTGTTTAACTTGATTGTTGAAGTGAAACATGTACGTGTGAGTGTGTGTGTCCCATTCTTCAAAAGAAAAATACCAAGATTTTCAAGATTCTGGTTCTGTGTGTTTGGAGGAAATGACTGGAGGTTTCAAGGATTATTTCAAAGTGGACAAAGTGAACTCTAATTCTTTGGCCTGGGAACAGTCACCTTGCAATGCATTTACATTTTAAGAGACTTTGTTCACATCAGTGGAGCACCGAAGTGATCAGAAAATCAATTGTTGCGACAGCATTGATTGATTGTTTGCTAACATTTCCTGACCCTCCTTTAGCCTTAACTCTTTCTTAAAATGTGAGAAAACTGCTTTTCATTTATGCAGATAACAGAGACGTGTCAGTGTGAATACAACAGCTCATAACAGTCCACATCCTCAGGAAAGTATCATTGACACACATGTCATAAAAGCTGAACTATTTTTATTATAATGACGGCATCTTTGATTGCAGGACCTTTTCACTGGCTGCTTTTTTTACAGTTGTGCCTAATAAACTGGAAACTGGGTGTATGTCCTAATGTTTTGCAGCTGTTAAACTCTGTTTTGATTCTCTTTTGGCATTTTTCAATCAGGTTTTGTTCATGGATTCGCTACATTTTACAAAGAAAGAACGGGAGCGCTAAAATTCATCGTCAGCTTTAGGTTAAGCACAAATATTCAACTAGTGAATCACACACAGTAGCAGTAACCTAACACCCTTGGGCATGGAGACATAGTCAACATTACTTGCTGATTTTTCAACCTCAGCATTTCAGAAAAAAAGGGACTATTTAAATTACTCTGAATAGGCCATGATTATTGGTGCCAGACAGGCTAGTCTGCAGAGACTAGAAAGTCCTCATTCACTGGTAATTTCACACTGGCTCCAGAACTTGGTATGAACAATGGTAAACCATGGATCCCTTCTGTCTTGGACAGTACAGAGTTGAGGGTGTAGTGGTGAGGGGATTTGTGCAAACAGAGCATAGCTGTCGTGCAACGGATTGGTCAAATCATTATTATTGCCTCCTCAAACATGTCAGCAATTGATTTTCTCATAAGAAATAAAGTCAACCACTGCACTGACTGTGAAGCATTTGTTTGAAGCCCTCATTATTTGCAAATAGAAAAAAGACAATAATAAAACTTTCTTTAAAATTAAGCGTTGACAGATAAACATAAGCAACCACTTTGTTCCTATTGATCACGTACAGTGCACATTATTTATGCTCTTATTTTCTTTATGAATGTTACTGCTACTTGACACACCTATTTAACAGCCCTGTTCTGATTTCCATGCCTTTACCTTTAAATGGTAATGAGCCACTGTGGAGGAAATGGCTGCTGGTATAAAAAACTGGGAAAACTGGAGTCAGACAGATGAGGAATCAAGTGATTTTCTTTTATGTACATGTGTAGTAAGGTAGCCTGTGACATTTTTGAAGGTAGGTGTTAAGGTGGTAAACCAGGGGTACAAGGAAAGCAAAGTGTGAATCTGTATTATGGGCGGAGCTACCTAGTGTGAAGGATGGGATATTTAAAATCACCCACTCTTGGCTTGTCTCAGCGTGATTAAATCAAGAAAAATATCTACTTAGTTGTTGAAGATGGCACTCAATTACTAGACAGGTTCTCCAGTGACTCAATTGTGTTTACCGTAACCTTTGGAGAAGATCTGACAACCACCTACATCAACAACCTACATATTGATAATAGTAATAATAATGTATGCTTAAATATGACCTCCATTGAAAATTACTTTACAATCTACTGTACAGTATTCACAGAACAAGATTGACTGTTTTCCTCGAACGTACTTTTTTTGTTGTTGTTTTTTTTTTTTTTGCAATTATTGGGGAAACTTTTTTTGTCAAAGAATAGTTGTAATTCAAGAACCCGACACTTAGACACACACTGTTAAACTCAGCTAGATGAACAATGTCAACACAATCTGGAGCTGACTGAGTCAGAGTCCAGTCTACCTTAAAACCCTGCGCTGACTGAGTATACTCACGCAACCTAAACGCGCGCGCGCGCCCGCACACACACACTCACACATTTCCTGAAAACGCCCCGTAAATGAGACGGGGGGGGGGGGGACTTTAGTGACTCTGAATAATAGAAAAATAATAATATTAGAGTGGCGCTGTTGTTTATTCAGTAAAGGTGGGTTGGGCACAAGCTAAAATCTGCGCCATAACTTTTCTGCCTCTCTCTCTCATTCTCTTTCTCCTCCTCCTCTCGCTCTCACACGCACACGCACTTACACAGCCTTCACTTCAGCGTCTGCTGCCACAGTTTCCTCCGTCACAACAACAACCACCGACCAAGGTCAGTGACAGTGACCGCCCACGGGATCTGTCAACGCGGTGCAAAACCCTCTACGGAACCCTGGGAAGGCAGGGCAGAGTCGCCTGCAGTACCATTGGAGTCGGATACAAGAGTTGAGAGCACCACGACTTTGCATTGCAGTGTGGATAGAGAAAGAAGTCCGGACAGGAAGGCAGAGAGCCGACCATGAAACTGTAAACGTATTTTTTATCCGTTCTTTTTAAATAAAAAAAAAGGATTTGGAAGAAGTACAATCATGTTGGGAAATCAAGGAACATACGCTACCAAGAAGAGGAAGAAGCCTGCTTTGAAACCGTAAGATTTATTTCCTCCTATGTAAATAAATACACTTTGAACTTCAGGTTGCGCACACTGAGCCGCAAGGTATGCAGGTTTGAAATTAAAATGTAAAGTTAGTTTCGTGCTTTGATTTGATGTGCCATACTCTCAAATGTAGGACAGGAAAGCGTTTCAAAGTTATCATATAAAAATAACTGTAAAAGTTACAGTACTTTAAAGTTCAAGTTGCACATTTTTATAATGTCAATGACAGTAAAACAAACAAAGCCTCACTCTGTTCATTTACACTAACTTTTTACACAAAGATGGCCAACTAGACGGATTTAAAACAGTCAGTTAAGGTGGCACCATTTTGCCAACCGACAAAAATAAACCACTCTCGTGTAGAAAACTAAAAGTAGTTATTCAAAAAGTGTAAATAAAAAATATATGTATAAATAGTAGTTTATGGTGTGTATGTTTTGTGTTGAGTTGTGCTCATTCTGTGGTGCGTTAAACTGCTTTAGAAAGAAATCTTTTCGGTCCACCTTAACAAACTGGTGCGCGTAGTTCGGATCTGGCATGGATATCTTACCCTCGCGCATTAATCACAATCAAGTCGCGGAATCGGCTGCTGCTCTCACGCGATGCTCCGAAGAGGGAGGGGAAGGGGGGGCAGAGAGGAAGGGGGGATTCACGGGCCGAGAATATGTTATTGTAATCCGATCCTGCCTCGCCTTCATCGCGCTGGGATCAGGGCTAGCTGCATGTTCTTTTCAGTGTGTGTGCCTGCTCCTTGCTCCTTTTACCACCTCATCTCCTGTTTCCCTTTCCCTATTTTAATGTATAGTGCGAAACAAAGATGGCGAGCGGCCTGTTGCACATGTCAGAAAATACAGTATCGTGCACATTTTTCCATGAGGTGTTTCGATTTAATTTTTACGCAGACACACCATGAAGATATAATGGGGAAAAAAAATCGCATTTTTACATTAATTTGCAAGTACAGTCATGTTGACTGATGAACACATCTTTGATATGTTGTCTAAAAACCTTGATCTAGATCGATAAATAGAACTTTATTATGACTATTAAAAGAAAAGAAAAAAATCTTGACCATAATTTATGGGGGGTTTCAGTTTGGGTCTTTTTCATTTGGGTTTTTACGATGTCAGTTAGCTGGCATTGACTGTGCTCTACAGTATGTCAAATATGTCATGTGCATTACTCATTACCACAGTGGCTATGGTATAATTTAAATATTGTTTGTATTTTGACCCTTTAGATGATCCACCTTTCATCCTTTTAAGGGGCCACCACAAGAAATTTGAATAGTTATTTTTGGCACAGTAATCATGCCTAATGCAAAACACAAACAGCATATATAAACCAGTTTTAGGGTGCGTGTCATGCCAAAAAAGACAATGGCATAGAACAGCATTTGAACCCATGTGCTGTGGGTACAAGACAATTTAGTGAGTAATGTTTTGTTCTTTTTTTGGGAACCTGTATTCCTAAATTATGGCAGAGTTAGTGATGTCTCTTGTTACTTTTGTATTATTTTTGGCAAAGCCTCAGCTCACTTGATATGCACAGTACCCTCTGTGGCTGTGGTGTTATTTTAGGGTAAATGACAACCCTTTTTGATTTGAGACTGCCTACAACTCTAGTGCTACAATAGTGTGCAGCTGTCGATAGGGGAAAACCTCACCATTACTAATAGTTGACACACTGATTTTAATAATACATTATTATGTGACGTTATTAACAGTTGACACATTCATAATCAAATTGAAATCAATGCTGTGCAAAGTGATTAATTCATGAAAATTTCACAGATTCTTCTCCACAAGATCAACAGAAATATAACCTTGTGGTTAAGTGGCTCAAGTGAAAACCTGCCTCCATCTTTGGCATCAGTCCACACGTTATTTCAGTTCTTGGCATGTACTTTTCCATGTTGTGTAAATGCGCTTGGAGTTTCATTTATGCATGTACAGCATTTATATAAACAATAGATCAAAACACCTGCCTGTTGTGACAAGGACACATTAGAACTTGGCCAATATAAACCTAATTTACTACGGGTTAATGTAATGTTTTTCAGGATTATAAATAAAACTTGGATCGATGATAGATGGGCAGACATGATACCATTTAGTGGCAAAATGCATTGTATTTTTGTAAAAGATTGTGAAGACAAAAGTCAGGCCAAGTAAGTAAATCCACTAAAGGTAATGTAAATTATGTCATTAAGTCATATACAATTAAAAATGCTGGGCCAGTCTACCATATGACAAATACTAAATTTACTCAATAGGTTGTTTGCACAAAAGATATTTGTATACATGAAATATAAACATTTGTTTTCAAATCTGAAATTCATTGTGTAGCGTGGCATAAATGTGCACGTCTACTTTAAGTGAACTGGTAATTAGCGAATAGGTTGTTGCCAGACTAAGTCCAAAAATACAAAGGTGGACTGTGTCTGCGTTTCTGAAGATGTGGGACTGTATAATGTGGACTGAGGTTTCCTGGAAGGCCCAGCTGCAAAAAGGCACCACTGAGCCCAGCTGTAAAAAAAGTTGTGGTCACTACACACAGGGCCATCTCACGGCAGAGCTTGGCCTCAAAGTTCTTTATTTTATTATCCCGTTGCCTTTTGTGTATGTTGCCAATCTCTTTTCCTGCAAATCCTCCCTTTTAATTAAAATTTACTTTGTCCATCTATTGTGATTTATGTATTTTTAAGAGCCTAAGTGTCCTATTGCAAACAAAGTCCTCACACGTTGAACTATTTAAATATACACGTTCCTCCATTTTATAAACACAGACCCATATTTATAATACCACTGAAGACCTCCAAATTAAACAGACAACACGAATTGTAAACAAGAAGAATTGGCTATGAGTACACCTCTTTGCTCCCACATTGTTTTTCTGCACAGTAGAAATGTGCAAACTGTCCGTTAATAATACTGTCTCTGGCTTAATGAAGAGGTTAAAATGCAGTTGAACTACACTGGCATCCATCCAAGCTATTAATAGCACACTCAGAGATCCCCTTCTTGACAAAGCCTATACCACTACCATAGGGTACAACATATCTAGCTGCTGGCAGTCAAAGCAAACATTACAATCGTCAAAATAGTTACATATTTTGAGTAAAATAAATCAGTTATTATAATTCCTCACTTTTTTGTTTTAGTGGTGATTGCTGACTTTAGGCCTATTTTTACGTCTAACGCCCATCTCACTCATTGCAGCTTTAGAAAACTGAAACGAAAAAGGCAACCAACGTGTTTCAACTACCCGGAGGACTCTTTATGTGTTTTCCAGGGTACATGTGACATAATAGGTCTGTCAATGTCTTTGAAGCTGACAGCTCTTCAGGTTGAAGTTAATTTAAAAGTCAATTGACAAAATAGATCATTTAAAAAATAAAAAAAAACTCCACAGGGCATAGTGATTTACAGTTCAACTGTGACTGTTTGTTGGCAAGCAAATTGTATTTTTTTTTAATCACAAAAGGATAATATAGATTACAGAGAAAAATGTTGTTTTGCACTGTAGCTTCATCCATTGTGATAGAGACTCACATACAGACAAACAAGCTGATAAGGGGTGTGGCGGAAAGCCAAAGCACTCCTGCTACAAACACCAACACAGTCACCCTTTTGTTCTTCTCTCTTAAAAAAAAAACGACAACACCAACATACCAGTAATACATTTCGTCATTATTGCTTTACTGAAATGAACCGTTCAGGTTTGTTTTCATAAGAAGATGAAGAAATTGCTTTCGACTGTTCCCACACACCCTTCCTCATTTCTTCTTGTTTGGTACTGTAACATTGGCTGGGGCTAGAACTGGGCTCCTCGTGAAGGAAGATTACTTTTCCTTCTATACTACTTCACGGCCTGTCAAGCATCTAATTTTGAGGCTACTGTCATGAGCAAAAATCAGTATTGACAGCTAAAAATTTACTATGATGCATAGGCCTGAAATCGAATCAACTCTTATCTAAAATCTTAACGAAAATGAAATGAAAAATGATAATAATGAAAAATAGTTGATATTCCCTTACTGCCATTTCCTTTTCATTATATTGTTTATTGTTTCTTTCTCATTATGAATCCTGAAGAGAAAAAAGAGAAAGATGTCACTCACGTGAGACTTAAACGTAACCCCACCCCAAGTGCATTTACATGACATTTGAGAGGACCAAGAATCAGTATATTTTAGAACCCTGTTTGAAGTAGTTCTAAATTCAATTCCTACTGCATGTGTACACTTAAACGGGCACTCAGAGCACTTAAACTGGTGCTCAGAGCACATTTTGATCAATCTCAGTTGTGAATTATGAACTACTCTTTGGTGCTCATAGTTTGAACATTGGTCCAATCTGTAGCAATAGGGTCTGACTGCTGCTGCTGTTTGGATAAAACTGATAATACATTGTAAATTGTCACGTAACATCTTCATTTAATTCTCAACAAGGTTTTTAGGTTTGTTTGTTTCAAGAGAATGGTAGACTCCAAGGAGCCACATCTCCTTTGTACCTTTATCCAATTCTCCTCTGACTGTTCACATGGTCATTAGTTGTTTCAGGAGGAATATTTTCTTCACTTTCATGTCAAATTATTGCCTCTTTTAACCTTTGAAGCTAACTGGACACAGCAAATTTAGCATTATAGTGGCACAGCATTACCCTGGGTCTGAGATTTTAATTACTTCTAAAATCAAGACACAACTAGTGCTGAACTATTTCAGAAAATGGAACCAATCTTTTTTGGTTTCCAGTTTAGGTTTTTGTACATTTATGCATAACATGTGTTTTTTGTGATTTCTTTTTTTCAAATTTAATTCCTGCCAAAAGGTCTGGTGCTCGCTCTCATAAACTATCCTATACTTCCCAATTTGCAGTCTTTTTGTCTGCAGCCAAAATCATGCCGCTGGATCTAGCCGGCATTTTTTATGCTTCTTAGGAGACAAGTATGTGTCAGCGCTACAAGAGTAGACTGAGTGTAGTCGGAGTTGCTTTTCAGGGCAGAGGTGGTTGACTCATTTTTTACTTTTTAAATTTTTTGCTCTTAAAATAATGAATCCTGATGTAAAAACATGGATAAAGTAAGACCTCTTTCTTTCCAAGAGCCTATGCCCTTATGTCTGCTTCTCTGCCCCATGATCCATAGCAAATCAAGGTGGAAAAAAAAGCAGTTCTGAATGCTGGCTTTTGTCTCCTCAAGGCATTTCTTGAGAGTGAGATCAGTCCTGTTCCATTTCTGGGAAGGTACAGCTTGGATTTGAAGCCAACAATTAAGTTTTTCTGCATTCCCAGCGCACTGTTGAGTGGCAGATGAGGAAACGTAATGCCTACTATTAACATATGTTTCAGTGTAGAGAAAACGTAAAGAAAGAGAAAAAAAATTAAGTTCTATGTCTCATGTTGTGGTAAAAACAAGGGATAGTCTTAATGTTTCTTGGTGAATTCAAAACTATTCAGTAAAATACGGTAAATTGTTTTGTTAGCACAAAAGGGGAGTTGGGAAACGGGAACAAAAGCTCATATTTGGAGAATAAGTCATATCCTGATCATTTAATAATATTTATATCTAAAAACCACATACAGTGTGTTTTGTGTACCACATTAGGTTATATTGGAGCAATGAGCCACTGAGCCAGGACTGTGCTCATACTGGATTCTTAAGATGGTTTCAGTTTTACCTGAAAGTTTCAGAAAACTTTTTTTTTTAACAACCTATGTTTTATAAGGCCAACTCCCAAATTGTTACTTCAGGAGTGAACTGAATTTCTCTGTCTCTTCTCTGCCTTTCTCTATGTAAATAAGATTCATAATGTTTTCTTCATTTGCATTCTAATCCTAAACAGAGTCTGTTGTGTGGTTCCCTGTGCAGCAGCCGTTGTGATGCTGGACGTGGGTGTTTTTGTGCTCAACGTTATAAACCGTCTTTGTATGCTTTTGCTCCGACTATAACTATTTGTGTATAGTGCTTACTGGCAATGTCACATATACTCCTGTTCTCCATTACGTCATTATCAACCACATGCATCGTCATATGTTATTCTTTTACTGACTCATCTTTAGTAAATAAGTAAGTAGTAAAAGTAACTCCCATATCCTTATCGTACACACTTAGCCTTGGTTAGGTGTTGTTTTCATTCTTTAAAAAAAAATTGCTTTTTGTTTCTGTATTTTAAATACAGACTTTGTGAACTCTCCACTCCTGAATGAACTGTTCTGCACCACAACTTCTTTCCTCTTCCACATACTTGTTTGTTCTCCTGATATAGCATGTGTGTTTGATGTCCATCTTTTTTATAGTTTTATTAGTTTATGTTGTGATTAGAAACAGTCCACTCAAGTCATGGACAGCATGCTATCCTATGAGATAAAATACTAACAAAGCCTTATCATTTAGTACCTTATGTCAGTTTTACTGGTGTGTGCATGATATGTCCTGGAGCAAAGTTTGTTCCTATGATGATGACGATGGTGTTGCTGCCTTCCTCTGTTCATCGACTGAAGTTCCTTTTTGTCTGCGAAGTGGCAGACCAGTGTCTGCGGCTAATCTCTGCCGTCACTGATTACTTTTAATTGCTAATTTATCTACAACAACAGAACAAATATATTTATCTTGGAAATGATATTCTGCCAACAATTCAAATACAACATCCACTCATATTTGCCCTCTTCATTTTCATCTTTTATTTTTTCCTCACTCCTAATTTCAAAACATAATTGTGAGTTGGAGATCAGTTCATTCATTTTTGTCTGGGACAAAGCCTGCTCATCAACAGATGAACTAGCATAAGCTAGCATCAACTTAAATCGCTTTTATGAAATTGGTT